TGTCCATTAAGAAAAAAAAAAAAAAAAAAAAAAAGAGGGGACAAGAAACCCCCCGTGACGACAAGCAGAAACGAGACCTCGAAATGAATGAGTGACAAGAACTTAAGAGGAGCTTTCCCTCAGATCAATCCAAGACGAACCCGCGGAACGGGGTTATTTGGAACCTGGAGGAGGGAAAAACACGGGTGGACCACTCTTTGGACGATCCGGTCTTTTTTCTTGGAATACAAAAAAGTGAAAATGAAGTTGAGAAGCAGAGAAAAGAAGAAGAGATTATTAGAGGCTTATTAGAGAAAGAGGAGAATAATAACCCTTCCAACTGGATCTTCAGAGCTGCCCTATAAACGCCCGGTTCGATTGGCCTAAAGTGGATGAATGGAGAAGATCCACGGACGAGAGTCGGATCACTCTACAGTGCAGTACAGTACAGTACATCCACGAGTGAATTTTTTTTTTTTTTAAATTATTTTTCTGTGAATATGCCTAGATTAACATGGAGGATGAGAAATAATAATTATAAAAAGATGCAGGGACGTTTCTTGCCTCTGTAGGCACCTTCCTGATGTAGAACGTATTACCGTACCATACGCTACTTAATAATAATCTACGACTAGTCGGTGGATCAGAGCATCATCATTAATCTCGTCCGCATCATAGACTATCGGGGGAGCGGAGGGAGCACTCTGTACACAGTGCAGTGCTCTTGAGTAGAAGAGTACAGAGTATTCTGTAGTGATACAAGTAAATAGTATTGTGTAGAGTGCATAGTAAGTAACATCTGTTGACAGTACCGCATGAACATGCAGCTTTAGTCGGCAATAGTTTAGGAGCGGGATTTACAGCGGGGAATCTTGCCAAGTGCTCCATACTGTACAGAGTACATGTTGTAATAGTACAGCCACATTGGAGTCTATGGTATGATTTTACCACTGATATGCTCTTTTTGCTATACTACAGCGTATCTATTCACTCCCATGCTGTATTGTACGTACGTACGGACACCAGATGGTCCGTGATGGGGGCTGACTAAGTGGGGCATCTGACCGACCAACCACGGATCACCTGACTAGCCATGTACGTGCATTCATGTACGATACACGATCCGGTCTTATACGGAGAAAATATATATAGTACCCCGTATACATGGTGGATTATGTTAGTTGTATGGAGAAATGGTACTCTATTCTGGATAGAGTACATCCGCGGAATTGCGGTTGAGCCGGTACCATCCAGTGTTATTCACCACCAATAAAAGGTCGAATTGCCCACATCCTAATTGGCGTCTGTTGGAACAATACGGTAATACCATCTGTAATTGATGTCAGGGGAGGGGACAGTGCGCATCCGCGTGTCTCCGTATCTGTAGATCTTCCACTGGTCCGTTCGTAATACAGAAATAATGATACTCCGTACTGAGAGTGAAAGATTAAGTTGCCAGGTTAATGTTAAGGGACCGTTCCTTGAGCTTAGGACTGATAAACCTTCGCGGGAGATCCTCAGCAGATCCAGCTCAACTCTTCTATTCAGGACTGTAGAGTATTCTGTAGGGTACAGAGATACTGCGAAGAGTAACTATGTGAATGCTGATAAGAATACGGAGTACGGAGTACGCATACTTGAATACGGACTACGAGAGGCATTATCAACAAGGAGTACGGAGACGGAGTACATACTGTACAACCATAGCATGATCCGACAAAGTGGATGAACAACAGTTGGTGCGTGCTTAACCAAACTCAATTCGACCACCGACCCCTGATTTCATTGTACACTTGTCCAGTCCAAGTAGGAAGAAGCATAATCATAATCCGGAGAAACCAGAAACAAGCGCCCTCCGTTCCAAGTAAACTCCGTAGACGCGGTGTTCACTTCGGGTGCCAACTCCATTGCCACTGCCTGTTTACTAGTGTATACTAGCGTCTTACGGTAATACGAGCATACAGAGTACTCCATACTCCATACTCCATACAGCTAGATCAACGATCCACCGTGGTAGTCGCTATGACTGGACGGATTCTAGACCCTGACGGAGATAATCGGGACGGAGAACCGGGAGTACAGACTACTCCTACAGAGCTACTCCGGAGTAAACGTCAAGCCGCGTCTAATCCATACAGCCATAACAAGCAAGGAGATGGATCTGCAGCTTCACCAACAGCCCCGTACAAATAATAATACTACGGAGTACTCTGTACTAGTACTAGTAGTAGTACAGTAGTAGTAATAATAGTGCGCGCGTCTACGCATGGACACCAGCCCCACTAAACTCAGCCCTCTGACTGGCCACCACGCCGACATTCCCCCGCTTGGCCCAGAGACCTGGGCTTCATCGCCAGTGCGTCCGCCGTCGTGATTGGATACTTTCCGAGGCGCAGATCAGACCGCACAGATGGTACGGTTATTGATACGGTACTTGATTGATGGTAGTGTGTGGCGTTGTTAATGCCGCAATCCAGGCGATCTTTTTGCCAGGTGGTCGTTTATTGCATGCGGGAATCCTTTTCTGGTAGGAGTTGCTCCTAATACGAGGAGGATCTTAATTTACTGCGGTTATGGTCCTTCCAACCTCCTTAGCCGTACGGAGTTTCTTGTACTTGTACTGCTGTCTACTCTGTACGAGCATAGTATATGTACTCCGTACAGTGGTGGATTAACACACATGGTGCCCCGCCATGTCTGAAAATTAATCCTCGGACCCGGACTAGTAGCCTCCAGGAATGTGTTTCTCGCCAATTTGCACCGAACACGTTTTAGTGCTGATAGTCCGGAGTAGCGCGAAGATCTCCATCTTTACAGCCTCCTCTGGAGGAGAGTACGCCTTTCTAGCACCACACCATACCATATGCACCCCTAATAGTAATAATAATAATAATGAAAATTCCGGAGTAATCAACCACGGCACCGGCACGTTCGCTATCATTACCACTCTTGGTAATCTGTCAATCGGTAGGTACTTGGCGCATTGATCAGATTCTGGTCAGTACTCCGTACTTGTAAAGACCAGACCCCGTATGTGATAGGAGTGCAGATACTAGTAACACAACCACACCGGATAGAGTTTAGAACCATGTGGCATGAATAAGATTTCTGCATTGGTATGCTGTATGCTTGGTACGGAACTTGCTCTGTGCAGCCGGAGAATACGGTCGACCGCGCTTCGTAAGTGCAGTCGTACACTGACTCTGTGCAAGGCTCCGGAGTATGTCTTTGATTGTCAAGGCAATGAAACTAGTGCGGAGGACGCTGTCCTATAATGAGTCGGATTTTACTAAGAGTCACCATTCTCATCCTCCTCATCCCACACCTTCATATCTGTGCAAGTGCAACTCGCACCCGTACATACCCACAGAAACAGACACACGACAAAAGTCAATCTTAACCTACACCTAATCCAACCCCTACCCATGTCAACATAGCAGATCCAGTTCGCATCCGCATCCGCATCAAATAACATAAACACAAACATGACATACAGTTATCTGACAAGTCACTAACCTTATTATTCCCTTTCTGTACATTACGGGGTAAAGGTTTGAATCTTCCTGGAAAAACCTTAAGTATATACATTAAGGGAACGATATGCTTTATATTGCTTTTTTTTTTTTGTTTGAGTTTGTGTCGCGACGAACTCTGGTGCCAGTGTCTACCAGAAATGTGGTGTCAGGGGTATATCAGTGCACTTAAGCGAGTGTGTTGGATTGATTGGTGTGCAGGATAGTGTGTAGTTGGATGCTGACAGCAAGATATGATAGGTAAGGCTTCTGTTTCAGGTGTATGAGGACTCTACCGTGAGTACTATGGATATAAATTTACTTTGTGTACTCTACGGGGCGATTATTCAACCAGTAACTAGTATAGCCCTGCACATCTCCATAATAGAAAAAATGACGAGCGCCACACATGCGATTACTTCCCTCTTTAGTCGCTACACATGTTTGCACAGTGTACTCTGTACAAGTACTCTGCTTATGCAGCACAGCACCCCTTCTAACCAAGCCACAACGCCACGATCCTTCCGTTGCGTAAGCATGATTTCCAGATCATCGCACCCAGTATCCAGGGATAAGGAGGCCATTAACGAGAGCATAGCATAGTATCCCAATACGGTATTCCGTTTCGGTGCAGGGAAGCACATGCTAGGAGTCTGTCAAGATAAGCTGTTGGCGCTATACTCGTAAGCAATTAAGCCACGGAATAGATTACTTATTTATTGAGATAAGCCAGGAATCGACGTGTGTAAGTTTGGTGCGAGGGGTGATTACACGTGGTAGCCAGATGGTGTATCGGATTCGGAGGATTGAGAGTGGAATGGAATGTAGGCAATCTGGCATTGAAATGCATAGGGGTTATCGGCATTTTGTGCAATTTTGGTTGATAATCTTCTACACGACTATTAGGAAGGAGATAAGTGTCTTCGCTTTGGAATTCTTCTGAAAGGGGATGCCACTGTCTCATACATTCATGAATGGAATGCACATATGAACATCTATGCTATTACGTTGTACATGAGTCCACCTCAAAACCCACCTAACCCAGAATTCATACCTTCCATAAAATACCACGGCTTTAGTCTAGCATCGCCCTCATACTTCTTCCCAGGAACACACATGGGCACGGGCACTGTGCCGTGGAAGACGTCTAACATTCCGCCGCCCTCTTTATCCTCACCAGGTTTCTTGTCAGACTCAGACACAGGAACGATAACTCCACACTCCCAGTTCCGGCAGTTGAGTTTGGGGGGTTTGGGGTTTGATTTTATGGTGCTGGTGCGGTCTTGGACAAGGCGACCCCTGTTTCATTATGTTAATATGGTTAGGTTGAGTTGGTCGCGGGAAGGGGAGGTACCAGGCACTCTCCGATAGATTGGCGCTTCCGATGTATGCCCATGCTGGACAGGTGCCGTCGCCGGTGTTGCTATTCTGTAGGAATATCGGCTCATCTGGTCGTACGTACATGATCTATATTGATCTATTAGCACTTTAACATTTATTTGTGAATCAAAGGAATAGAAAAAAGACCTTATTGTGCATCAAAAGACCCCTCGCACTAGTACAATCTCGGAGTATACCACTCGGAAACTTAGGTCCATTGAACCAACTCGACTGAAAGCAGATCGTGCCAGCGGAGTTGGGGCCGCCGTATGTTTCTTTCACGGTTTGTTCGGAGGGGAAGTACACCCGAAGGCGATCATTTTTCCATTCGTGGGTAGATTTGGTTTTCGTAGCTCGAGCGGTGTATTCCATAAGACCATCGTCGCCTGTTTCTATTAGTATAAATGCTTGCGCAGTGGGTGAGGGGAGGTACCTTGCGCGGCGAGGTAGATGGATCGAAGGAAGTCGTCGTTCAAAGATCCAAGGGAAGAGGTCACGTAGTCAATGTTAAGTGAGCTTGAAGTTCGTAATCCTAACGAGTTCACGGCTCGCCCCAGTCCACAGTATCCGGTTCGTCGCCATGACTCTCCTGTATGCGCTCCGCCGCTGTGCTCGTCAGTGTTGCCCTAGACAGAAAGGAATTGACCTACATAGTATGCACGAAGGCGTATTTGGCCGTCTGTTTAAAATCGAAATTGTCGAGCTTGGCGATAATGTTATCGTGCAGGGTGCTAGCTTTGAGAAAGTAGACTAGCTCTTCGTAGAACGCTGTTTTTGTATACACGTTGCCGCTGGTTTTCTTTGGAAGGTCGACCAGGAAGACGGACTACTACGTTAGCAGTAAACAGGTAGAATACCTGAAGCAGCGTACATTTTCCATTGTTCCACCGTGACCCCAGTCGAAAGATGTGAGATTCGCAGTTGGAATGACGATCCGAACGTATCCAGGATGAAAAAGTAGCATGAGCTTTGAATGCATGCAGTTCACCTGTCCCTCCATAGAGGGGAAGCACAATCGCAGATTTGGCATCATAGCCGTTTCAGCTTCGTATTGGCGCCTCTATTCCCCGTTAGCACGTCCCAGCATATCAGGTGTTCAACCTACCGTAGACTCCTCTTTGGCCTGCATAATCAGTAGAAAGCGCGTCTTTTTCGTGTCAAGATTCGAAAACACCCAATCAATATCCCACATAAATGAGCTCAGGACGGCCAGCTCTAAGTCTGACGCTTGGAATACCTCGTTGATTTTGATATCGTCGCCTGACCTCCGAGCATTGGCGTTCCACGTTTTTTTGATCACGCCGGCAGGGAACTGAATGCAGGGTGTGGGCGTTGGGATCTCGGCACTTTTGGCCATAGGTTCCTTGCGGGGTTCTGGTTTGGGATTCGGCGATTTATGAGGACTCTTAGTGCCTGGTCTCTTGCCCTTTGGAGACTCTGTTCGCGACTGCTTTGTTTCACGCTGATCCGATGAGGTGTCTGCTTTTCTCTTCGCAAGACGAGCAAGCCGTTCTTCCTCCATTTTCTTTCTATCTAGACCCATTATCCCCGTCGAAGATGGCTTCTGCACTTGCGTAGGCTGTTCTTCCTTCTGAGCCTGAGACGGTCCCTTGTCACTCTCGACAGATACTGGCCTAGGAGCATTGTTCTTCTTCGTCGATATCTTGACAACTTCATCCCTATCATTACCCTCAATATTCTTTGGTGCACTCTGCATGGACATCCGTATCGCTCTCTCCAAGTCCTCATCGTAGTCATCCTCGGTCCCAGATCCGATTACAGACTGAGACTTTGGATAGACTTCTACCACTTCATCCCCATCATCTGAGTCTGCAGTCAAATCGACGACATTTTGTTTTCTGGCAGGAGTAGAATCGCGTGAGCGTGTGAAGCCCTGGGAGTCTTCTAATGAAGCTGCAATAGCTGCTATGAGCTCTGGATCCTCCTCCATATTGTCATTGGCACTCATTCTGCCGGGCCGTGGCTGTTTCAAGAAATGAAAAGAAAAAAATCCACAATTTTAGGAAATAGCAGGCATTTGAGTAAAAAGAGGCCACGGGTTCTTTGTGGGGAAACCTGCTACAAAAACCGGTAGTATATGGGAAGTCCTGTTTATAATAAAGCCACCGCGACGACGCGTATAATAGTCGCTTAAACGAACGCGATAACCTTCAGTAATGTGCAAAATTCCGACTAACTTGCAAGCTCATGTCACGAATTCTATAGTGAAAGAAGATGTAAAAGTAGATGGAGTGTATCGGCGAATGTTAGACGCCCTGGTTCCGCTATGACACGTGACTGAGATGTCCCAATTAGGATATGCAAGTGCAAACATTAGTTCGCCTTTTGGTCCTCTACATAGCTAAATGTGTCCAGGAAATTAGGTATATGCGGTTTTTTACGGTCTAGTCCATACGAATATTTCAGGATTTTTATAGATAATTCATTATTCGTTGTAGAGTTCAGTCACGCTCAATATATATCAGTGCTACTGTAGTCCAGGTCTGTTATGAAAGCTCTAAAGCGCAGGCTTTCCTCTGTTTCCCTGAGTCGATCCTAGTTGAAGTAGACTAAAGTTCAACAGTCTTCCAGTTTACTGAATCCACTGGCACAATTTCATGGATATCGGACATTGTGTTGACCTAGACGAGGAGAGGCACATTTGAACATTGTCTTCCGTCTTTGGTTTGAGTGCCATAATGACTGTGGTAGGCATTTCGTAGTGTTAGCTACGGCTTTGCATAGCATGCCGTTGTCCACGGAGAGGTTTCGATGAAACTTTTTTATGATCTCGTTTGCCGCTTTTGATAGAATGGGCGGTTTCACTCCCGCCGAAAGGGACTTCTTGACCCAGGTCCCTTAAGATCGCGAGGAGAAACTGATCGACGCCTCTATCCCTCTCTAGACACATCGAAGAACAAGCTCAATGATACCAAAGAACACATCTCGATCAGCCTCAGCAGTGTCCAATCCAAGCCCGACGACAAGCAACCTATTCTCATCAGGTGACTTCGTCACAATGGCACTGGCGATTTGACGAGCATATAGCTGACCCATCGTCTCCTGCCCAGGAACCCGGCCACCCAGAACTGAGGTCGCAGTCAGGTTACTGATCGGAAGGAGACTGTCCTCGGAGGAATCGGGGATCATGTGGAATCCCTCTGTGCCTGGATTTTTGTTTTCCAGAGGTACATGGAGCTGCAGTTTGTTATTCATTGAAACTCACGATGGCAGACAGAGTACGCACCCAATGAGCCAGGCGACCTTTCTGAGAGATAGTTACAAGAATTTTATCGGCGAATTCTATGTAGATGACCTCTGTTTGGACGCCATTGACTTTGCCAGCGGCCTGTTTAGTAGCTGCTGGAAACGGGAGATACAGAGGCTGCTGAAGCTGGCTGAGGTCAAATGAATTAGACATAGCGGTAGACTTCTCTTCTTTCTCGATTGCAGACAAGACACTAATAGTGGGCTGGCATGGAGGGGATCTCGTGGTACCCAAAGGCGGTGAACATGCTATATACCGCTTTTAGGCAGTATCCTACCGCCGGGCAATGCGGCCGATTTTTTTCTTCATCCAAGATCTTATCTACAGAATTCTTTCGCAGTGCTTTTATTTTTATAAATTGGGCCTCTTTGTCTTGATATAAAGAGAGAATTCACCATAATGCCCAAGTTTGTCCCTCGTCAGCGAAAGCAGAAGCACAGGCAGAACGAGGCCGCGAAAGCTGCTCCGGTAGACACCAATGTCTCCGAAATCCAGCCCGCCTCCAAAAGTGAGAGGGAGGCGAGACGCCAAAATCTCAGAGAGGAATTGAGATCGCAACATGAGCATGTATCTGCTAAGAAGCAGAAGCGTCTTGATAAATATATTGTATGTGTGATTAGATTGATCTAAGTGATATCTCTAACCATGCGCAGGAAAACAAACTTAAGAAAGAAGAGAATCTCGAACTCTTGAAGAAGCTCGCGCAGCAGAAAGTCGATACTTCCAGCCTTCAGAGCTCCAGAGAGCTTGGGAAACGCAAGCGACAGGATGACTCGACGGCCAAGTCCCTTGAAGCGAATGAAACTCCCGCCCAACACATCCAACACCCCCAACACGACCTCTCCGGCGATGAAACAGACGAATCGGACCTCAAACTTAAAGCAGGCTCGGCGATAGAAACCAAGGTTGAAGATGAACCGAAACCGCAGGAGCCAGTGGTGATCGGAAGTGGATTGAAGCGCCCTCTTGAAGTCGGATCGGACGGATTCCCATTGCTCAAGAAGCGCAAGCGGGTGCAGAAAGCAAAACCAGCGGCTGCAGCGGAGGAAGTGCCATGGGAGGGATTTGACTCTGAGGAGGAAGAGGAAAGCGATGATGAGGAAGATGAGTCGGATGGTTCCGAGGGCGAAAGTGAAAATGATGAATCAGAGGGTGACGAGGAGGACAGCGACGAAGACGAAGATGACGAAGACGAAGACGAAGAAGATAACAACTCGGAGTCAGATGCTCCACCACGCCGGTCTGCGTTCAAAGCATGGGCACAACAAGTGATTAATGAAAACGTGGGATTCACACCGACTACAGGACCGGTTGAAGTACCCGAAGTACCGGAAGCATTTGAACCTCCGCGAAAAGAGGCGAAAAACACAGTTGAAATGGAGGAGCCCTTACCCACTGAACTGCAAGTCACGACAGGAGACCCCAACCGGAAAGCCTTCAGTGTCCCAGTTGATCGCTCGGAAGAGATTCAAAATGCACGCTTAGGATTGCCGGTTGTGGGTGAGGAACAGAAGATCATGGAAGCCATCCACAACAATCCAGCTATTGTCATTTGGGGAGCTACTGGTAGTGGTAAAACGACGCAACTGCCGCAGTTCCTGTTCGAAGCTGGCTATGGCAACCCCGACAGCCCTAACCCAGGTATGATTGGTGTGACCCAGCCTCGTCGTGTCGCTGCCGTTAGCATGGCAAAGCGCGTTGGCGATGAGTTGGGCCAGTATTCGAAGCAGGTTTCTTATCAGATCCGGTTCGAAAGCACAGCAAGCAGCAAGACCGCTATCAAATTTATGACCGATGGTATCCTACTCCGTGAGATTGCGGAGGACTTTGCATTGCTTAAATACTCTATCATCGTCATTGATGAAGCACACGAGCGAAGTGTCAACACGGATATTCTCATCGGTATGATCAGCCGTATCGTGGACTTGCGAAAGAACATGATGCAAGAGGACCCATCTCTCAAGCCATTGAAGCTTGTAGTCATGTCTGCGACATTGAGAATTTCGGACTTCATGCAAAACCCAAGCCTTTTTCGCTATGGAGCACCTCCTCTTGTTCAGGCCCAAGGCCGTCAGTATCCTGTCACTGTACACTTCGCCAGACGGACACACCGCGACTATCTTGAAGAGGCATACCGGAAGGTATCACGGGGACACCGGAAGCTACCACCTGGGGGCATGCTTGTATTTTTGACCGGTCAGAACGAGATTAGACAAGTCGCCAAGCGGCTGAAGCAAGCATTCAAGCCTACGCAACGGGGTGAGGTCGCCCAAGCTAAGGTTCAGATATCTGCCAACGATGCCCCTATCGAGGCTGAAGATATGGAACTTGGGGCTACAGAAATGGCCGCTCCGGGCAACGTGGAGGACGACGATAGTGATTTGGAGATTACTGGTCTCGACGACGATCCCGAAGAAGACGAAGACTTCAACCTAGGCGAAGAGGCAATGGACGCGTCGACAAAGGTGCATGTGTTGCCGCTCTACTCGCAACTCCCTACAAAGGAACAACTTAAGGTGTTCGAAGCGCCACCGGAAGGCTCACGACTTATAGTTCTCGCGACCAACGTGGCGGAAACCAGTCTTACAATCCCTGGCATCAAGTACGTGTTCGACTGCGGACGAGCCAAGGAGAAGCAGTATGACCTCTCGACAGGCGTGCAACGCTTCCAGATCGACTGGATCAGCAAAGCCAGCGCAAACCAAAGAGCTGGTCGTGCTGGCCGTACCGGGCCTGGCCACTGCTACAGACTCTACTCGTCAGCTGTCTATGAAGGGGAGTTTGCCGAATACACCGATCCAGAGATTCTGCGCACGCCCATTGAGGGTGTCGTGCTGCAGATGAAGAGCATGGGTCTTCACAACGTCATCAACTTCCCGTTCCCTACACCCCCCAGCCGTCAAGGATTGGCAAAGGCCGAGAAGTTGCTGAAGAACCTTGGAGCCCTTTCGTCCAGTGGCCAGATTACCCCGATTGGACACCGGCTGTCTACCTACCCGCTATCACCGCGATTCAGCAAGATGCTGCATATCGGTCACCAACATGGCTGCATGCCCTACGTTATTGCGCTCGTTGCGGCATTGGCGGTGGGAGATCTGTTTGTGCCAGGGAATCAAATCGACCCAACCCCATCAAAGAAGGAGGAGAACGATGACGATGACGATGACGATGACGTGAAGAAAAAGAAAAAGGTATACACAAACCAAGACCGTCTAGAAGATACAGCGCGTGAACAGCGCCACAAAGACTTCTCCCGAGTGCACCGTCTGTTCGGCAAGCACGATGATACCTCAGACAGTCTGAAATACCTTTCTGCCATCTGCGCCTACGGCTATGCCTCCGACGGCGATGCCTTCGCTGAGCAGATGTTCCTCCGCGCCAAGGCATTCAAGGAAGCAACACAACTCCGCAGTCAACTCACCGACATTGCCCGCAACAACAACCCTGGCATTGTCCCCGTCTACACACCCCGTCTCCCTGAACCATCCGATAAACAAATCAAAGCTCTTAAGCAAATTGTCACAGCGGGATTCATCGATAATGTCGCCATCCGCGCAGACCTCGCCCCGGTCCCGCCAGAGATGCACCGTACCCCGAAACGCGCCATCGACGTGCCCTACCTCACCCTCTTCAAGTCTCGCGAGGGACCTGCAACCGAACTCCAAGAGAAAGCCGTCTACGTGCACCCTACTTCGCTACTAGCATCTCTTTCTCCGAAGGAAATGCCGCAGTACGTCATCTACTCGCATCTACAGCAGTCAGCACCGAGTCTTGTCTCCGCGGATCAGACACCCAAGGTGCGGATGTACCCGCTCGTCGCACCTAGTGGGTTGCAGCTAGCAGCTATCGCGCACGGCACGCCTCTGCTGGAGTATGGAAAGCCGATTGGGAAGATCGAGTTGCTGGAGGGAAGCATGCCGCCAAGACGGGCGTGCTGGGTTGTCCCGTCGCTGGTAGGCGAGGCGGGTGGAATGGGGTGGCCGTTGCCTGCTAAAAAGGTGATTCAGAAGAAGGACCCTAAGGGAGGGTGGGTCATTGAAAAGTTTAGCACTTGATTGTACATAGTATATAGATTCCGTGATTGATTGATACCTAGCTATGGACATAGGTCCTGATTCGGAGCAAATCAGCAAACCCTAAAGCGCTCTATGCCTTTGTCGAAAATCGTATTCAATAAACCCCTGGTTGTGAAAAATACTATTGCCATATTCCTCCAACTCTTCCTTCTTCCATACAAAATCACCTTCCTACGGATTCGCAGGGCCACGGAAGAAAATGCCGTGGAATCGCATTATAACGGTGCCCCTGTGAGCTGAACACTTCCATCCTCACTCGATTTGAACTCGATCATCTGAGTCGTGAGTGGTATCAGTAGAGTATCTTCACCACCATATTTCTTTCCCTCAGCAGTCTTCTACTCAATAGCAATATGCGGCTTTGCCCGTTCAACAGCACAATAACTGACTTGATACCCCCCTTGGACACTATAAGTCACCATTTCACCTCAACCTGACTCCTCCCCAAGAAATTTGTAAACCCTTTCTGCACAACAACAGTAAAACGGGGCATGCAGACGCTTGAAAAGTTTACTATTTTATTTTTTATGTATGCTACTTAGCCCTAGACTTGGAGCAAGTCCACACCGCAACCGCTCGTGCCATGATGCAATCATACCAAATACTCAAAAGCCCTACTCGCCCTATACAGAAGTAGCATATCTCTTCACATCCTCCACTGTATACACGAGGTTTCCTTCCTTCTCGTTTGCAGGCCTACGGAGGAAGAGGCCATGAAACCGTACAGTAAATGGTTTTTTGTCATCTACAACCTACTTGTAGGGCCTCTACACAGAATCACAGATCAATTAAACGGCAGCCATGCTAAAATCTCACTTCACCATTCCATAAAACAAATGCAATGCATAGTTACACACATAGAAACCAACGAACACCAAACGCCATACCATCCCTAATACATCCATCCAGTCCATCTCATCACAAATAAACCCCCTACAGCCCAGAAATCACCGCCGTTCCCGAGTATCTCTCCACCCACTAGAAATCTCCCCCGTCTCCCTATCTTCCCGAATCCCCAACGCCTTCCGTAACCGCTCACTCTCCTCGATCTTCGCCTCCGCCAGCTCATGCACCTGATACGCCTTGAACTGCTTCTTTTCTTTCGGTGCAGCGCGACGACCGCGGCGGTCACGGCTATCAGAGGGGGTGTTGGCTTCGTCGTCGAGTTCTTTGAGTAGCTTCTGGCGGAGGGATTCGCAGCGTTCGTCGATTTCTTCATTTGACAGGACCCTCTTCTTGTTTTCGTTGTCATTCTTTGTTGTTTCGCCTTCTTCCTTATCCTCCTCATCCTCATCATTCTTTCCTTTCCCACCCTTCTTCCCCTCAGCCAACTCCTCCTCAACCCGTTCATTCTCCTCCTCCAACCTCTCCCTCTCTTCCATAACCCTAACCTCAATTCCTCTCAACCGATCATGTTCCAGGATCTTCCTATCAGGCTGTCGTTGTTTAAACCCGCCGTCTTCAGAGATGGGCGGGTATGGCGCGCCGTAGCCCGCGTTGCGCGGCTTGATGAAGGCGTGGTTGCGCTGGACATAGCCAGATGTGCCGCTACCGCGGGGAGTGGTCAAGCCGACATTTGAGGACATGTTCTTTTCGGAGGAGATTTGGGGTGCGGTTGTGGTTGGTGGTGGTTTGAGTGGAGGTTTGCGGTGTTGGTATTGGTGGGTAGAAAATGAATGTTTCCCGGTTGTGGGTAGACGAGATCAAAGGAATGCAAATATCTTAAGAGTATGCTAAGTTCAAATGGTAATGATCTGTATGAAACAACGGACAGTAGATGTAGTGGCAATGACCACGGAGTAGAACCCGAAGCTGTTTGCAACACGGTCGATCACGTGGCGATAACGATAACAAACTTGGTGATATTCGTCCAACCAACCTTTTGATGTAGTACTCCATATACGGAAAATTTATCATTTTAACGATCCCCGATCAATTATCTAATAACACACCAGAGAATGGAATTATGAACACAAAAACAGTACAAGCAACATTTTCAATTGATTTCACTGTATACCATCATGTCTCGTTTTCCACGGGATTTCCCTCGTATGTCCAAGGTTCCCCATTCTGTACCCGTTCCGAAACCAATTAAACCATAAAAGAGAATCCCAGCAACCGTTCGCCGTGTCCCTCGTTGGACATGATAGACTGAATTATGGAGACGTGCCTTCATTTCATCACATCAACAGAAGAACAAAACAATCACATGAACAGATTAAAAAGGTTGGTGAAAAGGGGAGTCGAAGAAACGAAGCAATAAGTGCACGGAAAAGAAAACATAAAAAAAAAAAGCCAGGTAAGCCAGCCGTCATCCTATGTTACGCCTGAATGCAATTAGGCGGGTGAATCATATATCCCTTGGGATCCCCTGTATGTATACGCCCGATCAATGTAAAAACGTCGGGTACAAAACACAAACATAAAAATAGTAATGGGTAAATATTTCAGCAGAAAGGAAGAGAGTTGTGCGCGGTGGAGCACGCTAGTTGGTACCGGTGATCTCGACCGGAACAGTCGCGTCAGGGGTAGTGGCCTCGGAGCTGGACGCTGAGGTTACCGTCGCCCTGGCAAGGCCTTTGGAGTCGGTTCCATTGCCAGTCTGCGAGTCCATCGGTGGAGGCGTAGGGGGCGCTGCTCCGACAGCCACTTGACCGTTTTCCATGGCCCGTTTCGATGGTTGAGGAGAGGACTTGTGCGAGTTCGGTGGTGTGGTGGAGGTAACGTGCGAGAGGGCGCTGCTCGAAGGCAGACTAGGGTCGAAAATGAGTTTCTCGATGGCGACAATCTGCTTGCCGTAGCTGTATTTCTTTAGCTGGCTTAGCAATGGCTTTATCTGGTCGATGAGAGCCTCTTTCTCGGCGCCTTGGAGCTGAGTGAGGATCTTCTGGATAACGTAGTTTCCATATTGGTCACGCATCAAGCCAAGCAGAGGGCTTTCTCCTCTTTCATTGGGCAATGTGAGCGTGTTGATAATATGCCGACGCTGCGACTCTTCACCGAATTCGATACTCTTCTCGACCACGTTACTGGCAAACTTGTGTTTCGAGAACATGAGAAGCTGCGAAACCACAACGATGATCATGCGCGAGCGGTCCTTCTCCTCTCCATTCTCGATCACGTGCTGAATGACGTAGTTGCCAAACTGATCGGGAATCAGGTTGGGTGTACAAGCGTGCAGTTCACCAAGGATCGACTCGCGGTCATCCTCCTCGCAGTGTTCAAGCATGCGCTGGATAACCCGGCATCCGTACGGGTGTGCCGCAAGTCGACTGACCTGTCCCTTGAACGCGTTGATGATGAACTGTACATACTGAGACGGGACCCGCTCAATGGCCTTCTGAATGACATGGTTCCCGTTCTGGTCGCGCACACATTTCAACACGTGGTTTTCCAACTCCTTTACCATCGATGCTTGCTGGTCGGTGAGGATGTGTTCCAAAGCCTGTACGAGTTAGCATGTCTTTTTATTTGGGCGGGGGGTACTATGGCAGTGTACTAACCTTTTGAACGACACGGCAACCATACATCTGAGTGGACAGCGCAAGGACATGTCCCTTCATCTGGTTGGCGAGAATCTTCTTCTGCGTCTGGTTGCCATGCTCGAACAACTTCTGAACTACGTAGTTACCAAACACATCGGTCATGAGTTGAAGGCAGTTCGGCTGGATTTCACGGAACACCTGTTCCTTCTCGTCGCTGTTGGCGGTTTCTAATTTTTGCTGGATGAAGCGGGACCCGTGCTGGTCGCCACTGAATTCCACCACGTGGTTGTAAATGTCCTGAAAAGTCAGTCTATGCTAAATCGATTACTTGATTTTGAAAACTCACCTTCAATTCATAACGTTTGTTCCCTTTGCTGTTGGCTCTGAACTCCTCCAGCAACGGACTGCGCACAACCTGGGATAAATCGTTCTCTCGGGTGGGTCTGGGAGCGTATGCTGCTGCCCCGATACCTGCCAGGGGAGAAACGGGATAGTAGCCCGCCAATGGATTCATACGAGCAGCCTGGTAATTTGCAAGTTCGTATGCAGAAGGGTATTGTACGCGTTGTAGCGGGTTTCCAGGTGACACGAACTCAGCCTCGGCGCGTAGTCTGCGCTCCAGGACAGTTGCCTGTCCTTCGGAGAGACGGCTACCAGAAGCATTCCGGAAATGAGGACCAGCTAGCGATGCACCATCCAGTCCGGAGTAAAAGGGACTGTCCATGCGAGTGAGCTCAGACGGGGAAATATCACCACCTTCCACGCGTGCCCTGTTGGCCGCTTGGTAAGCGAGAAGCTCTGCCGCACCGTCACCCATGTATCCTTGAACGGACTGATAATTCCCTTCATCGCCCGCAGCCTGGGGATACTTTGAGCGGGCGATGTTCCCGTCAAACGAGCTGTGGGGCATGTAAGAGGGGCGTTGAGTCGGAAAGCCACCATCATTGAGCTGAAGCTTGCTCAAGCCTGCATTCATGTCCATGGAGCCACTCCCCAGTCTGCCATCAAACCCTTGGCTTTCTGAGTGGAATGACGGGTGTGAAGTATGCGCCTGTCGCTGAGAGGCAATGGATGCCGAGCTGTGAGGGATATGACTGTAAGGGTTTCGCGGCAGCTGTTGAGCTAGCGCATCGGGCAATCCTTGGGGTAGAGACGGCATGGCCATGGATCCGGTCATATCATCGCTCGATGTTTCCATGCCGGGTTTCATCTGAAATCGCGCGCCCACTGGGCTACCAAAGGTGGACGAGTTGACATGGTGTCTGGCATCGCCATTCCTAAAGCCACCAAATCCGCCAAACGAAATACCATCTGTCGAAGGAGAGATTCCGTCCGATGCGCTGTTCAAGTAGGCCTTGTGGTTTGCTGCTCCTCCGGAGCCCGCAATTCCAGAGCGTGGCAGGGAGAAGTAGGAAGGGGTGTCGTTCGCCTCGGATAGTGCCGACGCGCTTCGATCGTTAGGTCTGGCTTGTACTGGCGATGTATTCATGGCCGTCGTGCCTCGGGCCAGCGATGATGATGTGTTGACAGTGGTCCAGGGAAGGTTAGGACGCGAAGTCCATCCATCTGATTCGGAGGTCGACAACAATGACCCGGACCCTGACTTGCCTTCAAAGGCTGTTTCTGCGAGATGTTGATCTACATGGGTTAGCATCTAGCCACTCAGACAGAGAGGTAGAGAAGGCGAACTCACCATCGAACCCATTTCCGAGATTGTTGTCCCCCCAGATGTTGCTGTTCCATGCCTTGCCCCCACCAAAACTCTTCGCCATAGTAGACCGGTCGTTGCTCATGCCAGAGGAACCAATGTTTGTTCTGTTCGTTCGCACCTGCACCATTGTTAGAAGTGATTCAGTATACAATTCCAGTCACTTGCTTACATTATGTACGGAGGTCGCATTTGCAGCCATGGTGGACGCCATTCCAAGACGAGAATCCAAGTATTTCGTCAAGTATGTACTCGAGTGCGAGGTATTTGCAGATGAATGGAGGAAGTTGGTTGGTATGTTTGGGCCAGGCTACAACACAGTCGACCTGTTATTTGCAAAAATCGCCAGGCACCCGGCAAGGCGTACTCCGTACTCGGAACGGAAGAATATAAAACTGAATCGACAGGTCACACTGTTAGTTCAGGATCAGGTCGAGTGAATCAAGTAAAAGTGTCGACTTACCAAGGGAGAAAATAGAAGGATAAACAGCAAAGGGAATGGATGAGAAAGAAAAAAGATGTACGGAAGAAGGTTGGTCCCGATAAAAGTAGGAAAGAAAAAAAGAAAACAGAACGAGGCTGACAAGGATATTTTCTGTCACGAGCAACGGCGCCTGTCCGACAGGTACAACAAATCACACAAGGGGACCAACACAAAGGAAGGGATAAGAGAGCGAAGGGAGAGAAGGAATCGAACGGTATCCGACGAGAAAGCCGAAAGGAACGGGAGCTTGATAAGAGAAGCGAAGCAAGCAACCAACACTGGGTGTAGTAATAGCGGTCGAAGAGACACCGAAGAATAGGAAACGCAAGGTGACAAGAATTGAGGATACTCAATGTCGGTTCTTTTCCCTTTGCGGATCAGACGCTAAGGAACGATCTGCCAACGTGTGTAATGTGTTATACCAAACAGCCTTGTACCGCAACGTTGTTACGCTCCGTGCATGCTCCAGGAACCCCGAATCTCGCAGATCACCGTGTGCCGTTGCCCAGAGTCGACTTTTAGCGGAGGAAGGACGAACGAAAGTGCGTTTGCGTATGGATAATGTTATACGGCGGACTTTACCGGGAGCGAGCGAGACGCGGCGACGTTATGTGTAAAGAGAGCGAGAGGGTGTTTTAATCAGACACGGTCGTCGCGGCAAGGGATGGGAAGATGAAGGAAGGAGGTTGTGGTGGGAGTAATCGACGAAAGAGAGACGGTAGGAGGATGGGAAGAATGCTGGTATTGTTGAATCTCTGTGTTGCGCGATGATGGGAGATAAAATGAGATGGAAGAGCGAGAGAAGAGAGGGAGAGAGATTAGACGGATGTCAACGAGGAGGAAAGGGAAGAAGAGGAGGAGGAACAGTCATCCAGCTGTCACACAGGGAGGCGGCGGGCGGTAGAGAAAGAAAAGTGGTGGTAAGTAAGAGTAAGTGGTAAGTGGTGTATGCAAGACAGGCAAGTCCAGATGAGCTGGAAGGTTAAAAAAAAAAAAAAAAAAAAAAAAAAAAAAAAAGCTTTGCGGTTCAATCCAACAAAGCAAACAAAATGAGAAAAAAAAAATACACACAAGGATCAGGGCAGTACAGAAAAAGAAAACAATACACGTTGTCAAGTCAAAAACACCAATTCAATGATGGTGAAATCTTCACTGTGAAGTCTTTGCAGTGCGTTTTGGGAAATCGATAGATAAGCTGCTGGAAAAACGAGATCCCGTTACATTACGTTACGGTACCTCCCGGGCAAGGATGCTTGGGATTCAGTGTGCAAAGGCATTGTGACCTGAGGTACAATTGGTCGTCTGCCGCCGGTCATTACCTTACGATACGACCTGGAGCTCAAGTACAGGTCAGATGACTTGATACGTATCATATTGTCGTGTACGCAGTACAGGTAGTAGTAGAATAATGATAGCAGTCATAGCAAGCAATGTGCGGCTGACCGCCAGACATCACATACATACAGCAAATAATTCCCGCGGTTCAAACGCCTACACATACTTTGGTAGACATCCAAGTCACCACTGTACCTGGACTTCGGACATGATTTCCTGACCGTTCAACATACCAACCCCGCTTGAGACCGCTGGCATGTGTCCCATGGCGCGTCAGCATTCCAGTTTGAAGCTGTTACATTTACATACTCTTGTCTACTGTGTTCTCCCCATGTTCACAAGGCAGAATTAAGCATATCGCCGACCGATCGGATCCACTAAACTAGCTTAGTGATTTGCCGCTTGCAATGATCTGGTTCGTTCCCTGTGCCCTAATACACCATCTCATATCAACCACAATGGATTCTATAGATGGCCCATCGATAACAATGTCATTATCACCATGATCTATTCTCGTCAATATACGACAATATAGCCGTCCCTCTCAGACTGCGGACCCAAAACAGCTTTTCCGGTGGGTCTTCCGACCGGATGCGCAACCGAGGCAGTTTTTCATTGGCCACAGCTGTTGTCGTCTACGCTATTCCGTTATTGGCCGACGAACCAGGGTTCATGACAGCCTACGTATGAGTACACTATAAAGGACAGTAATATCACACTCATCTACACTCGTATGATTCATATATCCCACCGCCTAGGGATACCATACCATGGATCCATAACCGGCCCCTTACTTCAGCCTAGTCAAGATAACCGAATGACCCATGGCTCTCGAACAGGACAACGACAAAGTCTGATGTGGAAAGACATCACTGACCGTTTTTTCAGTGCTACATGCTACACAAATGTCATATGTTGAGCACATACAAGCTGTACAATGCGTTGTAGTCATAATGGTCACGAGACTCCCTCCGGCTCCCCCAGATTTTCGGCTCGGAGATTTAGGAGGATCCCAAACCTTGCATTCCTAAGCAAATCATCGTCCCTGACCGTTGTGCATTCCTTTGAAATCCTCTGAAACCTACGCTTGGTAGTTGGTATGAGACTGATCGACAGCACATCACAGCAGGATTACTATTCCGGTCAATGCTTGCACTCAGTATGGAGTTCTGTGCCTGTACCTATATCTGTGCTGTAGATCCATAGCGAACCGGTGTTTGGTCGGAGTACTGGTACATACATACACGCACAGAAATGCCCTCATCCTCGTCCTCTTGTCCTTATTGACGGTTGTTTTGTTTCAATGCCTTGCAGATATTGTAAGTGTGCTGTTGTCCTCAAATATGTGCTCAGTTGTGCTATTGCGGATAAGCGATCGCTCATTTCCAGACATATATCAGTCAGTAGTGAGACCAGTATTTTGCTTCCCTTCTCTCTGTTTAGTCGTTATCACCCCGACTAACTACCCATCGTGTTTAAGTATACAGTCACATGACCTCACGTGCCCCCATACGTGCGAATAAAGTGGTCGATCTCCAACTCGGCTGCGTTAGTTTCCGAGATCCGATGAGAACCAATCACCCCTGATAAGGGTTCTGCGGAGAAAGCTAATGTCGACTGACCATCGGAGGCCGGAGTTGGTTATCCGTAACTTTTTCTTAGTATTTAGGAACAGATAGCACTTAATTGTAAGTCTTCAATATCAATATCAATTGTACAGCAAAGAAGCATGGCAGACCTATCCAACAAAACAGCCCTCATCACTGGTGGCGCAAGCGGTCTAGGCAAAGCCATTACCACTAGGTACCTCCATGCCAACGCAACGGTGATCATTTGCGATATCAACCCCTCTCGCATCGAAGAGGCAATCTTCCAACTCTCCGCCCTCGAAACAGGAACCCTCCGCGCCTACACAGTCGACATAACCTCCCTCGACGCAGTCCACGGCCTGTTCACCAAGATCCGTGATGAATTTGGCCCTTCAGCGCCAGATATCCTCGTGAATAATGCGGGTATCATGGACCGGTTCGATCCCGTGGGTGATTTGGATCCTGGGCTCTGGGATCGTGTTATGAAGGTCAATCTAACGGCGCCGTTTTGGTTGAGTAAATTGGCTGTTGAGGGGTGGCTTGCAGGGGAGAAGGAGGGGTGCATTTTGAATATTGCTTCTGTGGCAGGGAAAGTCGGGCTAGCTGCTGGTGCGCACTTTACTCTTCTATCTCACTCAACAAAAATCCTAACAATATCCACAGGCGCCGCCTACACGGCCAGCAAACACGGCCTCATCGGCCTAACCAAAAACACATCCTCCTTCTACTTGAACAGGAAAATCCGCTGCAACGCGCTCATCATGGGCGCAATGGAAACAAATGTCAGCGATGCTTTCCACGCTGGTATCAATCAAGAGGGGTACCAGAAGATGGAGGCGCTTATGAAGGCTACTGGGACGGCGTTGTGTAATGTTGATGAGGTTGCGGATTTGTGTGCTTACATTGCGGGTGGTAGGGGAGCGGAGTTGGTTAATGGGGCGGTTATTAATGTTGATCGGGGGTGGGGGAGTGTTATGGGGTGAGATGGGTGGTTTATTTGATTGTTGAGAACTCTTTAGATACAAAATAGTTAGGTGTTGGTATATAAAAGTCATAACAGAGACCATCAAACTGCCGTCCCGGAGCTATAGTTTCCCACGATTTGTAGAACAATGCAAGCCACCAGACATATTGCAGCCAAGATGTGAGCTCTTCCTGGTCTTTCCCTTCCTTTTCTGGATATGTTGGATTGAAAATGCCTCGCGATTATTGCAGAATCGCCCCTAAGCGCCAAACTTTCTCCGTCAGTGAACGTGCGATAACCTTACATGCTTGGAAATATCAAAATACTTTTGTCATCTAGACCAACATTCGAACAGCACGTACATATCATCTGGACATAGCTTGACCTCAAGGGCGTAGTGATTTCGTGTATTAGGTTCAACAGCTTTTAGCTGCTATGGATTAGCACCCTCTATGTTATTGCACGACATGTCAGTGCAACAAACGACGCGCAGATTTGTTGCGGCCGAAGATGTGAAAGACGGCTTCTGATAGCACTCTTGCAAAAGTGCCATTTCATGCAAGCGATACATGCCTCGAGTGGGTGTTCGCGCTAAAGTAACCATTGTGCAATAACACAGCATATATTTAGGTTCAATATGCCGTTTCAACGTGCGGAGACCGACGCAGCCGCCAACTTGCCGCATCTCTGGAGGAATTAGTCCTTTTTGGATTTTTCTTCGCCTCCATTCTATTTCCCGTATGCTCAGCTATACAGGCGCCAAGTCACCTGGTACGAGGAATTGCTAGTGTAGAACCTCAGTCATTTTGGATTCGAGAATTGCAAACGTGCTGTCCTCCTGCCTTGAAAGCGAGGTATTCCACCTCATGTCAAACCGGGTCTACTTGTTGTTAGTATGGGCCATTCAAGATAAATGTTAGCGCCAAAACAACGAAAGCACACACAAGAGGACCCCGTACCTCTATATACCATATGCTAGTGTACTAAGGATGCTGAGCAGTTGGTTACCGGTCAACAGGCAGTAATGAAGCAGTTGGCTAGGGAATCTCACTTGTGCCTTCGAGCAATCCTCCAAACGGCAGAAGACCTCCCCATAGTATATGACCACGATTCCGTCTGGCTCCTGAACAGTTAGATAGATGCACCAATTTGATTTATAAAATTATAGGTAAGAAGTTCGAGCTTACCATTCTCCATCGGGTGAAGATACTGCTCGTATCATATGAGCTCATCGGAGCGGTTGCGTGAGATGTTCTGTGTACACCACTGTCTTGCAGGATGTCTGGCGCAGTTGCTGGCTTGTTGCAGCCGAATATGTAATTTAGGGCCTCTTCGATCTCATTTCAAATGTGTGCTGGAATGAATTTTGGCTGAAGCAATTACGGATGCTGTATCGATAAAAATAAATTCAGGATATGAAAATAAATGGGAATGGGGATAGCGAAAACAATGAGCTTTGACATGATGGAAGACAGAAAGAGATAGAAAATAAAAGAAAGCTACGGCAGATGGAAGGTGAATGAAAGGGACAATTATTCAAGGTCAGATTATCTATAGAAGAATTAACTAGTCTATCCTATTGCACGTACTTCATTCAATATTACTTGAATCTTAGCCCTACGCTTTCCCAATACGGACAAGCGCATTTTTAGTCATCCGACTACATGAGGCGTATAAGTCACCTCGGTGTCTTAAATGTACTCTACCATGTATGTCACCTCACCTGTTTACAATGTAACACATTGCAGTTTCCATTGCATCTACATTGTGTAATGGTCAAATCAACGGAGAACAACTTACCTATTCGCCGAGTCCGGGTTTCCTGTAAGGCATGCAATGCCCGACAGGTGAAACGCGATGCAGCTGATAGATAGCTCTGTTGGCATTGTCGCATAAGGCATACGCTTTGTGAATTGATTGGGTCGAGGTGATGAAAGTGAGTGGCTATCGCTATAGGCGATTTCTTTCGCTGATGCTTTAAACCTGATAGGTATACGCGGAAGAGGAACGGCCAATCTAGAGTACGTTTCTCAGCGGTCACAAGAGGTCGGAGATACTTCTACTGGTCAAGCAGTATCTCCTAATGCCATCGACGACACTATAGTCCTGGACCATGGCGATGATACCCATAGAATCCCAGGGCAACCCCAAGCCGACCCACATTAAAATTCTTGTATCTTACATCGTCGAGGTGGTCCATAGCCCCATGGTTGGCTTACCAGAGCCCTTGAAAACGCATTACTCAAATACAACCTCTATTGCAGACCGTACAAGCCCCAACCATGAGACCCAGATTGAAGAACCGGTTATCTTACGGGATGCTTTTATTATGCTTATTCTAGATATAGCTCTGTAGTCTTTGGTAGACCATGCTGTATACGATATGAGGACTGTGGTATCGAAGTTCTTACCGAGGATGATTTCAATTTCGACATCGACTATGACGAAAAATTTATACCAGCCCAGAAAGGCTTCCACGTATCGTATGTCCTCGAGATGCCTAAATTGACGACCATACTTGAGTTTACTCCATTCAACTATTCTGTTACTAAATGACTTACCGATCGACTGGTGGGAGATATCCTCGTTGAGGAGTTCGGCTCTCCCCCCTCTGCGAAAGGATCCGACACAAAAGCATTGGCAGATAAATTCGTACAGTGTTACTTCCAATTACCAAACTAACTAAGAAGCTTCCAACCAGACAGATCGTTGAGTGCATTTTTCTGGCCCACCATGCTATATTTCTCTTACCAGTAAGTAACCATCCAGACTCCGGAGGATCTGACACTAATTAATGAGATATAGAAACTACCACATCCTTCTATTCCGACCCAAAACCATCGAAAACCTATTGCCAACAGAAGCCAAAAGGGACACCGGGCTCGTGCGGCAGCTGACTCTATATTACGAATGGCTGAAAACCTCCTGTTTGCTGGGACTATTGATTCCGCGCAAATCCACCCGTACGTCTCAAATCCTCAATAACCTCCGTACAGTTGCTAACCTAATCAGCATCCCAGCACCATTTGGCGCGCTCTCGATCCACACAATCGTCATCTGTCGCTGCCGGGAAGACCCTATCCGACGACAACTCGATGAGAAAAAGTCATGGCAGTAGACCTCGCCCAGACCCTCATGAGGGTCCAAAGGTTGGACCCTCCACCCGACCCTCGCGAGGGGCGGGTATAACACTCGCGACCCTCACCCGACCCTCGACCCTCGCCAGACCTCGTGTGGGTGACCCTCAAGGACCCTCGTCGACCCTCATTTTCATAAAAATTCCCACGCTTTACCCGATTTGGATGCATAAAAATGATGATTAATCTTAATACAGACCTGTTATTTACACCGTAACACATTACTCCTGTTCTGCTACTTCGGATGATAGGTATTGTATGAGCCCTAGAATCAATTCACATAATAGC